GGGGAGGGGGCGGAGTAGGAGATGGGTAGGATGATGGGGAGGGGGCGGAGTAGGAGATGGATAGGATTGGAGATAGATGGGATTAGGGGTTGAGTCAAAGTAAACATGATAGATATAGGATGATGGGATATGGATAATGGGGGCAGGATTGTAGAGGATAGGATGATGGGGTTGGATACAAAGTGCAGAACTGTACTTTAGAGGAATTTTAATTATGCACCACCATCAAACTCACAAAGGTCTAGTCTGACTGTATTGGACCCCCATTCTATAGGCATTCCTTTCTCCTGTAAAGAACTGTGAAGTTTTTGTACCTGTATCTCCTTGTTGCTGGTCTTTGTTGATTTTTTTTTAAAAAGCAGGCACCTTTCAACACAGTCTGCACGCAGCACTACCTAGGTTTTTTTCTCCTAGAGTACAATGAATTTTATTGCTAAGGTCGATGCAATATCTCGTACATCTGTATTGTAGTCGTATGTCAGCCAATCTTGTAAAAAATGTTGAAGCTTGGTGAGTATTTTCTTGTTTAATTTAGTGACCGTATTTGTATAACTTGGATGCCTCTTCTTTTCCTGTTATTACAGAAATTCAAATTCATAACAAGCAGCGAGACATGGCGGCTTTGCCATTCTAGTTTGGCCACGTAGTCATGACCTTTTCATGAACCGAAGGAAATCTGTAATTTTATTTTCAGGTTTATTCAAACCGTATTTGCTGCTTAATTAACAACCATTTTCTTATGGAGTTCCCTTTAAATACATGTATGTCGGCATTAACTTTGTGATGTTTTTTGATAGGGTCACCATTAGCATCTGCCAACAGTACTCCCAGCAAGCACAAGACAATCACCTTATCAGAACCCACGCAGATTGAGGTAGGATGGTATTCATGTTTGGGGACCTTTCAAAACTTGTCACTTGCTAGAAAGCAGAGTTACTATTCGTGTAGTAAATATTCAATTACAGAAGTATTTCTGTTAATATGTACAAACTTTTTACATAAGTGTATACGGATTAAGATAGTTTTCCTTTTTTTTTTGCAGTATTTAAAGAATGTGCTGTATCAGTACATGATGGGTCGGGAAACCAAGGTATGTGAGATAATTCTGTCCATTTTCAAAACCAAGTAATACTTTTTTTCTGTGATGCCTAGAGACATAAGTTTTTTCCAGCTTTTGAGTTTTAGTAATGAGACAGAAGTCTCTACCAGTAGACCACGTGTGGACTCGGACTGTGGCATAGTCTTCTCAAGTTGGAAATTGGCATAATGAAAACATGCAGTTGGAAATTACACACAATAAGCCATTTGCGAGTTAAATTTGAATAACATTCGGTACACTGTATTATCTGATTGCACAGAAATGTAACAATTTGAATTCCCCAGACACTGTTGCTATACCTCGTGATTCGGGGCAAGCTTTCGCATAGCGACCACCATCTCTGGAATGGACTGGTTCCTCTGTGCCCTTCTTTTCCATTGAGAACAGTGTATTGTTGCAAGGCGTCTCTTATGTAACTAAGCAAAAGCTTGCCCCAAATCAAGAGGTATAGCAACAGTGGTTTTAGTATGGAGAATTCAAGTTATATTTACGTTAATTGAAAGAACTCGGTGTACCAGATTTTATTTGAAATTGCTGACATGTTGGTCAATGCCTGAACTCCATTGTTGCGAGTCTCTCACAGAGTGCAGTACATTCGGCAACTCTCACACTTAGTCGGTAGCTTTCAGCTTTCACACTTGGAAATAGGAAGAGGAATTGAAAAAAGAAACAAAGCTTGCACAGCGTACTTACACACGTGTACACGTCCATTTTACTGTCATCGCCTCTGACTTGCCGAGTCCTTATCTCTTGAAATGCAGAATCTGCGGATGAGGTGACCAAGAAGCAAAAGAAATTATTCCAACATGAAGATTGAAACTAGCACATGGTGATCCAAGATGGAACTACTTTCTTGTGGCAAAGCCGAGGAAATATATCTATTGCTTCCTGGATCATTAAAGGAGAGCTAGTTTTAATGGAACTAAAGCGAAATTTATTATTGATATGCTCTAAAAAATTTTACTTCAAAGAGTGAAATTCATTGTTGTTCTTCCTATCTGAAGACGATGGCCAAGGTGATAGCAGCTGTAGTGAAGTTTTCCAAGGAGCAGACGGAGGATATTATAGCCCAGGAGGAAAAGAAGAGCACCAACTTGGTAAGATGATGCAATAAAGATATTCCTTTCTTGTTTTCCAGATGTAGTTTAGCATGGACCTGGCCAGCAGAGAGCCTACTGTTGATTAAAGGGAGAAAGCTTACATTGAAGTTATTAGGACAGTACATCCAAGAATGTTGAAGAAATAGCATTTTCCAGATCGGAGTGTACAATTAATAGTCTCTTTTCGATACGTTATAAAACACAAAAACGGTCTTCCCATGTTCATACGATACCTCGGAGTATTCAAATTATTTTTGGCAGTAAAGATACTAATCAAGTTTCTGTGTTAAGAAAGTGGAGTAAAGTTCGTGTGATAATCTTTAAAAAAAGGTATTTCATTGAAGCAGTCATCGCATGTTATTCAAAGTTATCATTTTCAGTTAAGCTGTAGCTCCTATTTTGCCCTTGCTGTTCCTGTTGATCAAATAACCCGGTGTTAAGAAATGAAAAAGTTTTGATAAATACTCACATTTACTCAAGCTGCTCGCTGTCGGCGGACTGTGTTCCTTTCCATTGGATGCTTTGAACCATTTACTGTTTCTTACGAATTCCTGGTAGACCATTCTACTGCAATCATCGTCCACCATTTATGCATCCTGTCTTCCTCCCCATTTCCAAACCTAACCCTAGTTCGTAAGAACTAGGGTTAGGTTTGGAAACCCACCACCACCACCACCACCATCTACTCCCTTATCCCAACAACCTGATAAGTCAAGTTTGAGTTTTTGTCTTTCGGAACTTTCATGTTGTCAAAGATTCGGTACATTAAATGCAGTGACAGATTTGATTTAAACTGCTCTGGTACTTCCGTGCTGTACAGATTCATTTACAAGTTTTGTTCAAGTTTTTCTCTGTTTTCGTGAAAGATTCTTTTTGCTGTCTGTATGCAAAAACATTTTTTTTTTAATGAGTTCAGCAGCAAGACACATTTTTTGTTAATTTGAGTCTGTTTGACTTCTGTTATCCATGTTCTAGTTCTTCACCATGCCAGTGTGATGCAAGCACACAAGATGGTTCATAAGAAAGGGTAGGCCCTGGACCATGTATGAATTGGCTGTTTCCCCATTGTATAATGTTTTTATGTCACAACCTGCCTGTGTCCGACATTTTTGTAGATTTTGCACCGAAAGAAAAGATACAAAATGAACAATATTAGTGTCACACGGATGCTGAAATTGTGTGTACATGTAGCTTCCAGTTTATGAGGAGCTGTACTTTTCCTCAGTTTACTATTTATATCACAACTGATGTCAAGATTGCATGGTTAGAGCTTTCAAGTTCACTCATCGCATTGTTTGTCCAGAAAAGTTAATTTGCAGTTTGTCGCGAACAGCCAAAAGTATGTTTTTACATGTCATGATGAATTGTTTTTAACGTTTTGACTTGGCAGTACTGGTTGAAAACTGTTTACTTTAAGAAATATGCCATTAGATTTTTTTTTAAGCCTTATCTGTAAAATCTTCACAAGTAACCAGTGTTTGTCTGTACGTGAGAACTCCAGATGACGTCATCATACTTCTTGGTCTGGGCTTTGCCAAAGCTATTAGACTATTCCATAAAGTTCCCTCTGAGCACTGGGAGTTAACTTCTTCTCTCCATTTCACTTCCTTTGACCCCTCTCTCTGCCACGCCCAAAACTCCTTTACCCATCAACCCCGCCCTTTGTCGTCACTGACCACACCCATTTCCACTTCCCACAGCCACCTAGTAGTTTGCTAGTGGGCGAGCGTCTCTGTCATTATGACATGTAAGTCATTCTTGTGGTTGGTTGGTGCTGCTGATTGATGTCATTTGGGTGTGTCTCTTCCGTTGAGAAACATGCTTCAGTTCTGTGCCTTGCCTCCATTTTGAAATCCGCTGTTCGTTCTAAGTTGGATGCAGCCACTCATTTTATGTTGACAAATACGCCAAATTTATCCACTGTGAACAAGAATTGTTTTGGTCATATTTTGTTACACTGTGAATACATACAATTTTAGTAGAACGTTTAATTCTTCTTCTCACTGTTGAATACTTTGTGCTTCCCTTCACATCCCAGTCGTTAGTTATTTGGTTTTTTTTTACAGCTTCATGGCACCGTTTCATAACAGTACCGAACTTTTCTTTATATTCTTGCTTGCTTGGTCTTAAGGAGTGATGGTCCACCTCATCAGCGTTAAGAACTTTTATGGTAGTGTGTTCCCTTTTTTTTTTCCTTTTTTGTGATAAAGATCATTTCCAATGAGCATTCCAGCCATCATTGTTTCCATTTTGTTCCAGGAAATGATTCACACTTTTGCTTTGAAGCCACTTACGTTCTGCAGATGTTCTTTTGGTGGAAGTTAGTCCAGTATTGCTGCCTTTTTAGAAAGCTTGGCTGCTGTTCTCATCATTTCTTTAGCTTTCAGGTCGTATGTACCAGTTGTCATTTTGTCACAGAATTTTGTCTTCACATTGGTGTCATACTGTTAAGTTTTGCTTTTCTTCAGCATTCAATTCCTCTCTGATGGATTGTGTAGTGATTGTAAAGTTCAACTTTTCCCTCTTTTCTCTTTCTTTTACCTGCAGGGACGCCTCATGTCCCCCTGATGGTAAATTTAGTTACTCAGCTACAGAGAGTGGTATTACTCACGACCTCCAAGCTATCTCACAATGCAATATTTATCAACCAGAATCGTTGGGGCCCAGCTCGCTTCAAAAGTTCCCGCCGGACTTCGTGTCTCGGCACCGCCGCCGCCTGCCCAGTATCCCATCGTGCCACTCCTTCCCAGAGACCAACTCGCTGCCCGAGTACGCGGAATCCACCTCTGCGCCCGATCAGACCGAGACCAGTTCCCTGACCGACTACCTCGATGTGGACTCCCTGCATGACTACATGGGCATGGGGTCGTCCGATGAGGAGGACGAATCAGGCATCATAAACCAACCTCCCAGGAGACCTGCTCCGAATGCCAAGAGGGTCGAGGTGCCATCGCAGCTCACCACCTACCTGTTTGGCAAGTACTGTGGAGAGGAATTAGGAAAGGAGACAAGTGTTTAAAGTTCCCCATTTTATTATGAGAAATCTGTTGAAGAACAAGTTGAAAATGCCTTCTGAAGCAAATTTGAAAAGGAAATTCAAAAATAGGTGAGACGTCTGCTTGAAGTATTGGTAGCCAGTGGAAACACGTTGTGTGTGACATGTTAGCAATGTGTCTAACTTTGTCTTCTTGCTATTTGGTAACGAAGCAAGATTGTTGATCTTCAGTTTTCATAGTCAAAACAAGAAACCATTTCTGCATGAAAAGTATGACACTTCATAGAGCTTACCCAAGTATGCTTTTTTATCTTGGGTAACACACATCAACTTGTTAAATGCTTCCTAAAGTACATATCCAGGCATGCACACTTGTCCACACTTGGGTGGCTTAATTTCAACTGAATGTGCACAAAAACCATAAAGTAATGCATTTGAGCATTTACTCACATTGGAAGTGGCACCCGGGTGTCCTACACTAAAAAGTGATGCACTGTATTTTGGAGGGCTTAGATATTCCGTGGATTCCGTGTCATTCGGACCGAGAATCATATCAAGCAAAATAACTTCTTAGCGTTATTGAAGGGAAATTGCCACTAGGTTACATGTAGGTGCTTTTTAATAAAGAAAGAAAAGGCTTACTAATGTTAAAGAATATATGCAAACAGAACAATTGCTCGTGGAATAGTTGCCAAACTGTCGCTTATAAAATGTATGTAAGCTAAAAAAAATATTGTCCAAGGTCAAGTGTGCCTTGCAAAATGTAAAAGCAAAGGTCTAAAATGTATTCAGGGCTTACTGTTTTCTGATGTTTAAAACTGGTAATATGGAATTATCGTCGGTACGTGTGGGAAATTAGAGATAGGCATACAAGTAACTATAACCAAGTGGTAACTGTGACTATTTGCAAATCCGACTATAGACCTGCATTAACCCTAGCAGTCCTCAATCCTTCACCTGTTGGAGGACTGAGGACTGTTAGGGTTAAGGTCATAAATTTGCCACAATTGTACTATTACATGTATATTCTCCCACTTTTCGAGGTAGTCCCGAAACGTCTCACAAAATTTACTTTCTTTTCAAACCTCTCTCAGAATTCAGCGATTATGAATAAAGCTGTCATTGTTTCAGGGGTTATAAATGACAGGATTCTTTAATAGCCGCTGAAGTGGTCGTTGAAATTGTACAGTTGACCTGGCAACTATGTTTTGCATTCGGTCATGTTTAATGTGGCATTTCTGTTTACTTCTTTAAATCGGACGTCGTATTACGGTTAGCGATTGCCATGTTAAACTGGGGAAATAATGATTAAGTTTAGTGGCCTTTGGGAGAGCAGAATGAGCATCGTTAGCTGCATTTTGGACTTTACAGTGGAAAAGGATATACAACGAGTATCTGTCTGGAAGAATAGTTTAGGTTTGATTTGATATTGGAAGTTGTTTTTTCCAAAAAGTATATATTTTTAATACTTATCCTATTCATTCATTATCAACAAGCAAGTCTTCCTGAATGAGTTACAGTGTAACAGCCAAATTCGGATTAATTGGCATAGGAATATTGTGAGTAGATTGCCGGATTCTTGCGTTTTCTTGCTACGTCAGTTCAAGAAGAGTCTGTGCCAAATGGCCGTAGTATTGTTACAAAAATTTGGCGGGTCGGCAGACGCTACCAGTAAAACATCAGAGCATGCGGCTGTTTTATGTAGAGATAATTTCCTTTTTTAGTACGTTGCTCCATTGGATTTGTTTCTACTATGAATAGATGCTAAGTATTCAATTATGATTGTATTTATAGCTTTTATGACCATGCCGAGCAAAGATTTTTGAGATTCCGAGGTTGTAATCTTTGAAACATATTGTCCAATTTAGCACTCGGTTTTAAGCACTGATTTCCGGTTATAAGTACAATTTGATGTACGTAAACGTCTATCTTAAGGCGCACACAATGTATATAGCTTGATCGTTCGCAATCACAAGATGGTAAGTGTTGTCGGATCTGGAAGCGCCATTTTGATGGCAGAATTTATAGCATTTAATTTCGAGAGGTACTAGGTGACACGTGTCCTTTGGGAGTTCTGATAGTTCTGAAATCAGTGCTGGAATGGGTTGTTGGATGAATTCGAGTAATGTAAATCATTCCTTTATGTGAATTTGTCACTTTAATTGTACATAAGGAGAATTTGTGACGATATTTAAGTAGATGATTCAAGTTCAAATCAATCATATTGGAAAGTATAAAGGTAAAATATCGCAGGTCCTTTTTTACATTGTCAGAGTTGTATGTATGTTTTGCTATGGCAATTTTGTAGTGACGATGGATTCGAAGTTCTTTAGAACATTATTGTTTCGATGCTGCGATTAATCGATTAAGTTGTGCTTTTATTTGCCTTGTAGAAATTCTCTTTCGCGAGTACCTTGGTGCTCAAAGCAATTAGGGAGCGAATTTGTAGTAGTTTGTTTGTTTTGTTTTGTTTTTTGTTTCCTCGTATGGGTTTTTGAATCGTTTGGTTATCTTCTATTTGATTTTGTTCTGGATGGTTTGTAAGTTTTGTTCTTTTGTCTAAGATTCCACGTGGGTGTGTATCTTGTCTGGATGTCTGTATATTGTCATGTTTTTGTTTGTTTTGTGCTGTTTGTTCCTTGTAGGTTACAATTTTTGTTGTGTATCCGGTTTATTAGTTTTCTTCTGTTGTGAACACCCTGCCGACAAACACTTACCATTCCTTGCTAATATTCAATGGGAAGTTGCACTGATTTCTTGATGAATGTTGCACAACGAAAATCATGTGTGTCTGAAGAGCTTCGGCGGTTCTTGTGCTCGTTCCGTATAATGTTCTCTACCATTCACTCAGCGTAACCTGTCCTGGTGGTATTCCTGTGATATGGTAGTTCTAGAATGGACAAGTAACAGTCTTAAAAATGGAATAAAGCGATATGTATTAAATGTAAAGCTGAAATAATCTTTTTTTCCTGCCACTACTTTTGTCATTCTTCCCGTTTTAGAAAGGAACTGCTTCATTAACTGCATGTAACAGCAGATGGATAGTGCGTGTTCGATTCTAACCGAGCACCCCGATCCACAGATAAAATGCTATCAATATTTTACAGGGCGGCAGAAGTCGGTGTTTGCGGGTTTATGGTTCAAGCAAGTCTACCCCTGGGCAGTGTTTGTAAGGTTTGAGTCCAGACAAGAGTCCCGCTTTTACGCTTCCCAATAATTACCAATCATAGAACTGTACCTGATAGAATTAAAACCCGATCGTCGGTGTCAGAATTGCTGGTAGCGTGGTGATAAGGCTTGGGACTTGTGTCTCCGCGAGCTCGGTTCGAATCCGCTGCCCGGAATTTTATTTTCCGTCTCCTTAGCCGAGTCTTTTAGATAAATATTAGAAACAAGTCTTTTCTTAATGGGGACCCAAGTTGGGTACTCGATAGATGCGTCGCCTCCTGAGTAGGTGGTCCCGGGTTCGAGTCCCGGCCAGGGAAACCTGCGGTGGACTGGAGTCCCGTGGCGGTAGTGTAGCTAACTAGATAAAATAAAATAAAATAAAACAGAATTTTACTCTTTTATACGGAAGTAGGTTTGAAGTAAAAAGAATTTAAAAGGCCTCTGCTTTCCCTGGTGGGATTCGAACCCACGATGACTGGCATGAGCGTTAGAGTGCCTACCGACCAGGCCAACACGCTCTTCCTATCTTAAGCAGTTTGAATGTAATACTTATATATTCGGCAGGTTAAAGTAACCAAAAAAAAAATGCAAGTCCACGCGCATGCGCTTTATGGCTTTCAAGGTTTAAATGAAAACGCCCGCCTTTCGTTATCATCATGTTTCCGGCTGGTTGTGTGTTTGATGTTTCTGTAAAGAAAACATAGTTTGGTAATTAGCAGTCCATTTCATTATATTAATCATGCCACAAAATGTCTTTTTTTCCAAACAAGTTCATTGTACGAAACATGCTGGTCCTTATTAGCAATGAATTTAACTAAGAGTGTCTTTAGAAACGCAAACGCACTGGTGCATTGACGCAGCATACCTGTTCAAAATGCGTTCCAACTCAACGGGAAACATTTTTCCCCGAAGCTTCACTGGTTTTTCCAAAAGTTTAAAAAGGATGCTTTTTTCTTTTCATCATCTCACTCGTCGAAACAAAATTAATTTCCATCCTTGGCAAGGGCATATGTACAACACCTTCAAATATTAGGCGGTCGGGAGAAAGATGGCAGTTCGCTTGAACTTTTTGGTTTTATTTGCAAATTTTATTTCTTTTTTAAATTCCACGTCTAAGGTCATGCACTACAACTGTGGTTCAACCAAACAGGATTGTAATGTAACACTGAATTCAATCACAGAGAAGACCAAGCGTACAGAACACTGTCCACCATACATTGCTATGCCAAATCCATCCCCCCAAAAGCGTGACAGATGTGCGTTCCGACAGCGCCGGGTGACTTGGCGCGTGTGCCGGGCGGCAGCCCCGCCAGAGATCCGTGCCCTCCCCCCCTCCAACCTTCACTATACCCACAGTCCCATGAACTGTGCAATAAGCCAGTCCATTCCATTGTGTGTCCAACCTTGGCCAGCACCCAGAGTGCGGACCCGCTCGTTTGCATATTCATATATTTACTGCACTCAGCCTTGCTGATTGCAGGTCATTATAAAAAATCAAAGACTCTTACTGCTAGAGTAGAGGGTAGTTTCATGCGCGCCGCGAACAATTAAGCCCAAAGCATCGATTTTTGTAGCGCTCAAGAAAATTGATCACGCAAATGAAGACGTGCATTTTTTTTCCGACCGCCGCTGAAAACGTGACATATGGGGTTAATGGGCGACGCGAAGAGTCCCCCCATTCAAATTGCATGTCGATGTTTATAGACATTAATATTTTCATAGCCCAGTTTTAGTCGAGTTTTCCGGAAGCGACCGAAAAGAGATGCCATTTTCGGGAGGTCCAAAATGTCTGACAGATGGGGAAAGGAGATGGGATGGAGGCATCCCCCTCGATCGGGACAGGGTTTACGTTGCGATTAATGGAAATTCGTCCCCCCGCAGAGTAAAAAATGTTCTCCAAGGCATGCGAACTGGTAAAATGAAAGACGGTCTTTTTTTATCACTGCATGTATTTTTTTCGTATTTTTCCTAACTTTCCAGTGACGGGTTTGAATTTCGTTAATAAGTGGGCAAAACTGCGAACGAGGCAAACGTTCATTATTTTTGAGCGCGTTTTGTGACTGTAATTATTTCTCACCCTCGCGAGAGACCCGCGCGCCTTTTTCCCCTCAGCATTTTCTGTGGTTAATTTTACTCCGTGGTCTCTCCATTTTGTGGTGTAGTTATCAATGACGTCCGGTGCACAATGTATACGACGGCTAATTTCCGCTCTGGCAATTTACCATATGGGGTCTCTGTCCCAGGCCACCAGAGGCCCCTAGAAGGTGCGGAATTTTGGTGAAAATTTCCAAGTTTCCCAACTGACAGACAATAACTCTCTGACCTTAATTACAATAATCAGTCTCTTTGAAAAAACTGGTCCCTTATACAGTTTTTCTTGTTAGCTCCAAGGATTGTGATTTGAAGGTTAGTTTTTGAAGGTTCCTTATTTGATTTATAAACCGATAGTATCCGTGCGTGCCCAACTGTTATTTTTTGTGTATTAGTCAATGCGTGCCAAAATTAGTAAAACTAATTTTTGTGTGTGGTTTATAGATTAACAAGGCGATATTAAGCTGGAGACGAAGGCTGACATATTTATTTTATCGATCCTACAAGCAGAAGTATAGAACTGCATTTGCAAGCTGAACGAAAAGAAAAACTAACCGATGATTGTTCGTCGTCATTACTGAGATGCTTTCACTCAGCAAAACCGCATGAGGTCGTACTTGTAGATCAGACTACCGTCTTGGGCCGTTTTCCAATACTCAACTTCGGCTCCGTCTTAGGCTTCCACTGTTTTTTTTACTAGCTGACTTTGCAACTGTAAGCGCAGTAATCAGTCTAATAGTGCCACAGAACATCAAATAAGATGCAAGAAAGCCACAAATTACAGTAATACAATGTAATTTAAACGCTTCAGGCCCACAACCGGGGATTGGTTTTGGGAACGAAGCCCGAGACGGAGACGAAGATGACTATTGGAAAACGGCCTTGGATTCTCTGTGATCATAGTCAGCACACTCGCCTGCAATCACGCTGTGCTTGACACGAGGAGAAGGATCTGGAACATTCCGGCTTGAGGATGGCCTCCTCTCCAGCCACTCGAGGACGAGATGGACTCGTTCATCACTGCACTCTGCAATCACCATGATCCGAAATGTGGTGACTCTACCTGTTGGGTCGGACTGCGAGAGTTCCGCATGGGTTGGAGCTGAGGCACAGCGGTGTCTAGTGATCTGGCGAAGAGAAGAACACACTACCTCTGGTCAGTCTAATTATTAAAGGTCTTGGATCCGGAGTTTCACAAGAACCAAACCGTCTGCGTCAGAAAAATCGTGGCCTCAACAATTTATGCATGCATGCTTTGGGCAAGATAGGAAATGTACCGAATGAACAACCTTATTGTTCTTCGGTCGTGTACAACTAAACTACACTTCTTGGACAAAATCTTAAATTGGTCAGTTGTAAGTCCTTAAACTGTCTGCCGCAAAATGATTACGTAAGCAGTCGTGACATTTCATTGTTTGAGATAAATGATTCGAATTAAGGCTAGGCCACACCTTCAAGTTTTTCTTTCATTGAGATTTATACAGGGTATTGTGAGTGCCCTACGCAAATTCTCTCCTCCCGTTTTTTATTTTGTCAATCTTTGATAATGAGACCTCGATCCAGGGTACTTGAGTCCCCGCCCTCAAACGTGACTGTGACATACCAGCGGCCGTTGGAGTGCACGATGAGTTATAGGAGTCATTGTGTCCAGACCACCAAAAATGATTGGAGGAACCTCCTCTCCGTCACCTTGTAATGAACGGTGTGGGGCGACTTCAATTAGTGTTTGAAATTGCAGAGTTTCTTGTGAATGCATGTCTGAAGTACGTATCCATGCGAATATGAATAGCGCGTAGGCTGCCTGATTTTACTGATAATGCCATTTTATGGCCGCTTTTTTTCCCCGAGAAAATCCTCCATTACTCGCTTTTTTTTTTTTTTTTTTGAGGTGTACCAATTAATGGATTTGTTCTCAAGTCTCCTTAAAACGGCATACTTCTCTCGCGACACCTCGAGCAGAAAATCCCCAACTTTTGGCCGGCGGGCACAGTTTGAAAAGTTCGCCTCACCCTGGAGAGAGACAGCCGACGAATAACTACGTCCGGAGCCGCACCGAGAGCGGTGAAAGTACAGACAGCTTCAGCGGGTAGGACGACGAAAATCACGGCGCTCGCTCGCCCTCCGTAGGCAGCTCGCTTCAAATCGGCTTAACCGTCACTAACGACCAAGAACTGATGTCTCAGAGCCCCGAGGGTAGAACATCCTGCTAAGTATCGGTTTAGTGGTATAGCATTATCCCAGGAAAAAAAAAAAGAAGTGGCACAGGTTGTCAGACAGAAGCAAATTGTAACCTAAATGGTGCGCTACCTATAAGTTAATTGTCATTTTACGAAAATTTGCTGTGGCTAAAAAAGTAGCAGCCGCTCACGACGTTGTCTTACTGTGCGGTAATTTAAAGTGTGGATGTCATATACCGTATGACGTAAAATCTCAGTCACTGTGAACATCGGGTAAACTCAGCGGAACTCTGTACAAGGATCAGTCATGACTGGTGGACCAAGGTCTGGTCGAAACGTGTGTTTATTGGAAAGAAAACTGTGATGGATCGACCTCGTGATTTAGGGGCCCGACGTGGAATTGTTTTTCCCAATTCCAATCACGACCACGCACTTGTCAAGATCACGATTGCCGTCCCAGTTGTAGTTCTATCGCAGGGCAGGGCAGGGCATCAGACGAGACGCTTAGTGTGATCTGTGATCA